CATCTCTTATTTCAGATTTGAATTCAAGCTCTGCTTTTGGAATCGAGTGCTTCCTGAGAATCTCATTCTACCTTCAACCTCTTGTCCCTAGAGGTCCCTGTCTCTTCTGCTTGCAGAGAAGAGCCTGAAAGCATAACCCACACTGAGCTCCAAACACCAGACGGCAAACAGAAACACACATCATTCATTTATTTATTTATTTCAATCTCCTGATTTTTAACACTTAGAGTTGGCAATATTGCAACTGGAATTCGGTTTGAATGAAGACAGAGGGCTGAATGCCAACTCTCTTGCTTGCTCTCTGCAGAAAAGCAATGCCTGGAAATGCCTGGAAACAAGGGGCCTGATTCACAGCTTCCTTCCAGGCAGTTCATACTGCCTTACCCTGCCTGTAAGCCTAGATACAAATGGTCAAGCATATTCCAAATGAGGTCCAAATGCAAGTGATACAAATAGCCTTTCTTTACAACGTGCTTATCTGAGGTCCAAAACTCATACATATATATGATATGTGAAACCTAGATCTATGTTAAATAGGACTATCTCAAAACCCATCTCTAAGCCCTCTGAAAACAGAGTATGCAGAATAATCTTAGGGTGCCTTGTAAGAAATGTTTTTCCATCTCTGTATCTCTTGCAAGCACCACTACAAGTCAAATGGTGCAAGAAAAATGAAAAAAAAAACACACTGCTTATTCTAAGTAGAGTGGCTTCTGTACTCATATGCCTGAGCTATAATTCTTCCATTAAAAAAAAAAAAAAAAAAAAAGCCACCAAACACTGGAATTCATTAGAAAAGGAAAAGCTGGCTCTGCTACTTTCAAAAACTGCAAGATTTCAGTGTATGTAAATGTGTCTACCAATGATTTCTGGTCTGTTGGTGTAGCTACTAACAATTTAATCTGTTCTTTTTGCACGAGAAGTTGATGTACTGTTTTCTTTTTTGATAATAAGAGATCATTTGGGGTATGTGTGAGGGAGAAATCACTTTTCCCACACACCACCTAAATCCTGCCTGTACTCACGTATACCAAGGGTGAATTCACAGGATCACAGAATTGTTAAGGTTGGAAAGATCACTAAGACCATCTGGTCCAGCTATCAGCCCACCCCTACCATGTCCACTCAGTGCACATCCACACGGTTCTTTAGGGACAGTGACTCCGCCAGCTCCCTGGGCCACTGCCTCACCACTCTTCTGGAGAAGAAATTTTTTCTAATATCCAACCTGAGCCTCCTCTGATGCAACTTGAGTCCATTCCCTCCAGTCCTATTAATATCAGAATTGCATATATGCACTGCACCAGCAATATTTCTTCAATTGCTCAAAGAGCACAAGTGCACAGCTTATCTCTCTGCTTTCTGTCCTAGGACTCGGTTTTGGGGTTGTGGTCAGCCATAAATAGAGTTTAAAATTATTACAGAATACATTTCATAGTAAAAGTTAACAACAAACAGTCTTTTTACAACAACGTGACACTGCGACAAGTTTGATCATTGCATGAAGTGGAACCAGTGCCAGAATTTTTGAGTATTGTCTCCTGGCCACTCATGCATTAAGCCACAATATACTCGTGTATAGATTTAGAGCATTCAGGAATCGATGGGAAGAGAAGAAAGGCAGTGCTCTGTCTACTCTAAAGGCTCACGTTTGATTGCAGTGATCTATAAACACCATCCTGGTGCTGCTCTCTGTAACAAATAACATAACCATTCCTGGGATTGCACTTCATACCTCAGAAAAGTCCTTCTTCGCAACTGGGAAATAATTCTGATTTATTTGGATCCGGTGCATTTCCTTGCACAATGAACTCTTGCACCACGACTCACACATGAACAGTGCCCGAGGAGCAGCAGAAGCTGGCCAGCCCTGTTCCTAGGGCCACCTCAACCACTGACTTGTGTTGGCAAGCACACGGTTTCAGCAGCAGAAGCCTATTAGTTCAGCTGCCAGCGTCCTGTGTCACCGAAATACTTTCCATCAAAGGGAAACCTCTGCGAAGCAGCAGAGCACAAGGGCCAGCTGTCAGATTTAACTTTGTAACATTAACCCTTTTCCTGCCCTCCACAGTGGCTCTTCAGATGAAAGAGTCCCTCCTTATCTTTGACAGGTCTCTTCCTGCCGTGGCCTCCTGCAAATATTTCTTGCTGCAGAAAATCATATACTGGCAGCATAATCTGCTACAAGTCAAATTTATCTGTTAGAAACCCGACTGCCATTCATGGCCACAAGGTAAGTCTAGCATTGAAAATTACATTTTTTTTTCTGCTGTGTGCTGGAGAGAGCTGGAAAAATGTCTATGGCAGAGCAGGGAGAGGATGTTAGCTGAGCCCTACAGACTTCATCACACCTACTCCCCTCCCTTGTGGAAAACCAGTGGGAAAAGAGCCATTCATACTGCATAAGCTTGTCAAATCGTGATATGCTCGAGGGAAATATGCTTGGGCACCACAGTGAAAGTGGTGGAGGCAGTACCTTTGTGTAGGAGATGGCCAGAATTGTGCCAGCGCAGCTGAAGCACAGCTATCATTACTTACAACTTGTGGCAGTACACAAAAATTACTCTGCTAATCAGCCGTGGGTGTGATACGCTCGTTCCTTATCAGGATAAGGTAACGGTTGGATTTACCTTGAAATTATAGTTGAGCTCACCTCCGCTCCTGATACATACAGCTGCTGACTGAGTGTCATTTGTGAGCCACGTGCCCATCACATGCCTGTGGCATGACAAAGGGAAGGCAGGCTCTGCCCCCGAAAGGATGTTTATGTATGTTCTTTCTTGAACAAGTTTAGACAGCACGTGGCAGGGGATATCAGAGCCGTATCACAAGGGACGCCACTGTCAGAGGACCTGGCGTTGTAACAACCAAATGAGATGGTGATTCCCCTTCTAGGTGACAGTCACCAGGTCTCCTTGCTGCTGTGCCACCGTGCTCACATGAGGTCACACGGGGTCCATGCTGACCCATAGCGACCCTTGGTCTGCGATGTGCTTCATTGCTAATAGAAGCATGTGCTTCATAGGCCTAATAGAAGAAGCCAGAATCAAAGGGGGCTGGAAAACATGAGTGTTTTAGAGGACAGCTTATAGTCAGAGATACACAGTTAGGTCTTTTCTTGGTCACGCTTCCCTTTCACTGGCTTTTAGTTTCACTTTGCAGTTTCTAAACCATTGAAAAAATCCAGTGGTAAAAGCATGGTTTCACATGGAAAGAATCCCAGGTAGTGTAACATCACCACAATGACATGTTTTTAAATAAAAGCATCTAGCGACAAGTATCTACATTCATTCACTCAATTCATTCATTCACCCAGTTGATGAAAGGACTCGTCTATAGAACATTAAGTGTGTGCCACTTTCAGTGGTTTGCTCAACAGTTCCCTGAGCCTCAGGGTCAGTTCTGCTGCCCAGCACACATGTGAAAACAGTGGCTTTGATTTTAAAGCCCTGACCTCACTTTTCAGTTGACCAGAAGTTTTTGGGTTGTTTTTTAACAATATTTAGGCACTCACTGCAGTGAGGGGAAAAAAAAAAACCACAAAAAAAACAGCGTGGAAAAATCCATCAGGAAAAATCTACATGAAAATGTGAAGACTAGATTCTGTTGTGATCAGCATGCAGAAATTTTGGGTTGTATGAAGCTTTTTCAGCCTCTTGTGTGTTGAAATCAATCTGAAAAGGGAATCAGGTAAGAGTAGGCAGTACAGAGAAAGGTTTAAAAAACCTCACAGATGTGTAAGCTTTGTTTGTAATGGTTGTAATGTTTGAAACTTAAATAAAACCCATTTCCAGGACATCCAATTTCAGCTTTCTTCCCTAACTTGCCTTCCTCTGCAACTTCTCTGTTCAGCATGCTAGCAGCAAAGCATTAAAGGATTGCTGCACAACTTTACCCCTATCTAGGAATTTACTGTCCTGTGTAGACAAGAGATATGGCTGTGCATGCAGGGAATAAGCTATTCCCTACAAAAGCATGTGGGGCTCTCAAAATCCAAGGCACATGATGATGGGAATATCAAATGAATCAAGCATCCTGAGTCAGCATACTGAACAAAGTGCCTCTAACCTCTGCAAAGGGCAATTCCCTCAGGTCGAGCTGAGGTCACTGGAGCAATGCAGGGAAACCCGTGCAGAAAATCCTGTGTATGGGCCCCAGCTTGCAGGCTTGATTTATGGATGCAGCGCCGTATTTTGCAGCATTTTCAGGGGACTCTTACATTGAAAATTGGAGCTAATTATCTGAAAACAACATCTGTTGCATTCAAGTTCCAAAGTGTGCACCTATTAGCAAGACGGATCAGAGAAGCACTGATTATTTGTACATCGTTTATTTAAACTGCCTGGGAGCAGCGCTGGAATCGTAATAATTTCCCACTCCCTGCGTCCCTCATCTCGCACCAAGAACCCCTGGCTGCTCCAGGGAACACAGGGATAATTAAATGTCTCCCAAATACCTCCGCCTTTAACAAATGCAGCGGGACTCTGCAGACAGCTTTGCAACCAGACCACGAGGTAAAGATGCCAGCCCTTAAAAAGCAGGTTTGCCAAATATACCGCCGGGCTGCTTTCCTCTGCTTATCCATGTTTCTGCTGTTGTACAAAAGAGCTTTCAAGATCTGGCCCAAAGACACATTCTCATTCTTTCTTCCCGTAAAAAAAAAGCAGACCTGGCACAGGCACAGTAAATAAAAATAACAAGCATATGATGCCCAAGATGCATGTGAACATTAAGTGACGTTGGCAGCCCCCGCAAATAGAACTCTGGTTAAAAATAGCCTTTGTCTAAATGTGGAAAGTGAGTAAATATAGTAGCAGTTTCAGCTTACTATAGAGGCTTACAGGCACCAAGTAACAGTGCTTATTATAGAGCATGTGCGTCAGCAAAGGGGAGAAAGGGAGAAAAGAAAGACAAAGCATTCTGCAATTAGTTTCTACAATGAGACATAAATTAATTTCACCTCTTGTTATTTTTCTTGTGGCTTACAAAAACGGACAAAGGAAGGAGCACTCTTGAACTGTAACACTGCTAAAGAGAAAAAGAGCTGGAGCTGAAGAAAAGGGCAAAGCTCGCACCAGAGCCACACGGAGAGCGCTCTGCAGAGAGGACGGCTGCACGCAGTGAGACGTAGGAAGAGGTGACAGATTGTGATCTCAGTCTCTCCAAGACAGACAAATGAGGGATACTGTAACCCGGCTGGAGGAGTGTTTGCTTGCCTTCATTTGTCTGCACATCATCCCATGAGCCAACTTTTGAATTGACTGAAAGAAAGCATCTTCGAGGCTTCCCCCTGCATTACGAGTTGGACTCAGCGATCCTTTTGGGTCCCTTCCAACTCAGGATATTCTCTCATTCTATGTCTGTGCACTCCTGACTTTCAAAGAAATCTCACAATTTTCCAGTGATGGCAGAACTCACTTTGCTGCATCAGAATATCTGCTCTACCCAAGGCTCCTCTGCAATGTAGTCGTGGCTGGGAAAGCTCCTAGACAAAACCTGTGGGATAAGTTGAACCCAAAGAAGAGTACCTGCAGTGGGACACAGCTGTATGTTGAGTAACGTCCTTGGGATCTCCAAACATGATGATGCAGCCAGGGAAACCATCAACATTCTTAGCATTCTGTTTTAGTTGGACTGATGAAAAATAAAGTAACAGTGCCTGGGTTAAGCTTCTGAGCTTCTCAAATCAGAGATGCGGGTGGGAGATGCTTCTTACTTCTTCCAATGTTCAATTCAATTGAGCAAAGTCAAATATTCCAAAGCAAAATAATTAAGTCCTCAAAACACAAAGTCTTTCCCCCATTCACACACGAAAGGATGCTTTCATAGACTCACAGAATATCCTGAGTTGGTATAGACCAATAAGGACCCCTTCCCATAGCGTTCAGTGTATTCTGGTTTTTTCTTCCTTCGGAACAAAAACAATGGAGTGACAATGTCTAACAGAAAAATGAATGTTTCAGAGTGCTAGATGAGATGCAGCATGGCACATAAATTATGGTCGGGTAAGGATCATCAGTAAAGTTGCTTTATTCAAGTGGCATGGTAAACAAATGCTATAAATTCCTAAGTAGAGCCTAAATCAGCTTTTGGCATAGTGCATCACTATAACAAGTTAATTTTCGCTGCTCCAAGGAATAGCCTTATATGGTTCACTTAAGTAATCATGCTAAATGAATGTTTAAGTGAGAACCATTTGCCAAATGTAAAGCAAGAACCATATATAACCTCTTACACAACTACATAACACAGCAATGCTGGCTGGTTTCCAACATTCTGGTTTATGTACGAATTAGATCTGCTGACTCCAACCAACACCTGAGCCAAAAAGGAGCTACCTGAAAATACTAGCACAACTGTTAAGGATTAATAAATAAATTTGCCCTGGTCTGTCCTCCTCACAGCCAGGCAAATGAGATTTTCTTCTCTTTTCCAGTATAGGATAGAATAGTTCCAGCCTTTACTCTCATCTCTTTGCTGAGAAAGAAGAAATAAGAAAGTAATAAGAAAAAAAAAGAGAATATCAGTACGCCAAAAGCTTTTCTGGTTACCCCAAAAGAAATTTGACCTTCCAGTCTGGTGTACCATGCTTCCAGCATCCATGCTGATTCTGTGGTGCTTTTGTCTTACAGCCATTAGGGGCCACACGAAATATACTCAGAGAAACCAATTGCACTGTAATTGGTTGAAGCTTACTACTGACTGCCCCCTGCCCTTGGATCTCCCACCACCTGTAAATGTGGGAAGATAAGCTCATAGGAATAACTGAAAAAGTTCAGGGAGACCTGCCTATGTCTATTAGTCATCATTCATCCTTTGTAGCAAGAAAACCTGCAGTAGATGCAGGCTTACTTCTTCCTAGAGAGTGCTGTTGAGTTCTTGCATTCACAATAAATCTGTTTGGAAGACTGCCCTTAAAGAGTTGCCATGGTGATTATTTTGGTGCTGCAAAGTAGAAGAAGCTAAAGTACTTACTAGCCATTTCCAAAATCTCATCTTTTGGGAGAGGAAAAAAAGAGAGAAATCGCCAGATGGCATTTGTCAGAAATCCGACATTCTGATTATTACTGGAGCTGTTTTTGAAGGAATTCTGGGGTTTGGGGTTTCTGGCCAGAAAAGGGAGAATGGAAGGGCTGAGGGGAAAGAAATGGAAAAACAAAGTCACTATATTTGAAGTCCCTTTAGCTTGCATTATTACAATGGTTTAGGAAGAGTTCTTACAAGAGTAGGACTTAAGTAATGAGAATTTTCAAAAAGTCTCCTTCCTGACCATTTACTTAATACTTAGCATACTGTAAAATGAGGGGAAATTGTTATCTCCTTGTGAAAACATCACCAGCTTCTAAATGGAAATTATAGCTCTCTTTTGCACCTTACCTGTAACGGTAACATCAATGGAACATGAGAGATGTCCCAAAAAATCCAGGTGTCAGTCTTCCTACTCTGAATAGTACCAGTGCAGAAATGGAGCTTATCAAACTAAAACTAGGCTGTGCACTTGCTTTGGCTCTAACCAAGGTGAACTTGGGGTGATTTAGTGAAATTAGTGCACCTTGTCACTTCACTGCAAAAAGAAAATAGAAGAAGGAAAATAGGAAAAGGAAAAAAGAAAAAGGAAAAAAAGGAAAAGAAGGAAAAGGAAAAAAAAGGAAAAAAAAAAGGAAAAAAAGGAAAACAAAAAAAAAAAAGGAAGAGGGAAAAAAAAAAAAACAAGAAGAAAAAAGAAAAGAAAAAAGGAAAAGAAAAAAAGAGAAAAGAAAAAAAAAAAAAAGGAAAAAGAAAAACATTGATTTAGTTACTTAGACATCTATTTGCCAAATTCTCCAGTTAGCCTTGTGTCTGTATCTGGATTTTACTTCAAATTGTGGCATTAAATTAGGGCAGTGCTAGCGTGCCCTAAGACATGGTGTTAGGTATTTGCAGGATATTAAGCAGTGGTGCTGGAATGGGCTGGCTTGTCACGCCAGCACAGCGTGGCACTGTGCAGCCTCCAGCTTGTGTCCGAGGAGCAGGATGGCTGCATTAGGTGCTGGCTGTGTGGCTCTGCAGGCAGACTGCCATGCTGACAGGGCCACAATGCTCCTCAGATCTGGAGCAAGCGCAGGTATTGCTGCCCTGCGTGATTTAGGGAAGCTGCAATGTGTCATACAGCATTCTTCATTCACAAGCCTCTTCTCTCACTCCTTTCAGCTGTCAGTTCTGCTGCGAGGCAATAGCAGCTTCCACTTCTTCACGTACAAAGAATTCCAGAGTTTTGGTGAAAAACAGCTTTGTTTATTTTAAACTCTATTTACTTAAAGCTGTAAAATTGGCCCCTTTCTAACGAAAGGTGCCAGATGAGCAGCTCCAGGAACTGAAACTCTTTATTCACTCTGGAGCTCATTTGCAGCCCATCGGAGCCAACGACAAGCCTCTAATTGACCAGTCTTCTGGCTCCTGGGCCAGGCCTTCGCAGGATGGGCAGCAGCTGTGCAAACTCACTGCCTCACCAGAGCATCTCTGAGGGAGAGCCAGGCTCCCCACACAGGGGCCAGCTCAGCCTGAAACTCACCCAAAAACTGCAGCTCGTGTACAGTAGTGCCCAGAGGGGCTCAGTGTTAACCTCATTTCCCAAGCAGTTTTGGATTTCTGTACTTAGGTTTTGGGGGTTTGCAAGTGTTTTTTGCTTTGTTCTTGATTTCCAATTTTACTGCTGCAAACTGGAACTTGACTCACATGGGGAAGCAAAAGGCAGAGGGAAGAAGAAAAGAAGGACATCGGCATGGCAAATCCTCACCCCTCCTGCTATTAAGGGGCTTTTGCAGGGGGAGGGAGTGGTTTGCTGAAAGATTTCCAGGAAAGCTTTCATGGGAGATGCTCTATTAAAAAAAATAAAAACTTTGCTAGCACTTCAGTTTCCATTCACGCACGGCTGCCAGTAAGCTTTCAGAAATTACTTCTGGTCACTTTTGACCAAGACAGTTTGGCTTCATGTTAGCGATGGGTCTCAAAAGCTCTCCCCACAATAAGTCTGTTAGCTTTCCAGGCCCAGTCGGCATCTTCTCCCCTTGCAGAGCTGAAGACTGACCCAAGACCAACCAGCAAGGCTGGGGACAGCACCTCACAGGCAGAGGATAGAGAAAGTGAAGATCTGTGATCAGAAAGGGCAGAGATGAAGAGTATTGCCATTCAATAGGAAATGCAGAAGGACAGCTGAGGCTTGTATTGTAACAGCGGATCAGAAGATAATGAAAATAAATTGTGTAGTTAGTAAGAGGCTCAAGAGGCAAGGATACAGTCATGAGAGGAGCACTGAAAATATTTCACTCAATTTCTTCTCTTAATGGGCAATGAAATGGTGAAGAAGCATGTACTTCAGTTTATTTCTGTTATTCAAAACTTCCGATCAGCATGGTGTCATCAGTGAAGACAACAGTTCAGCTATAAAAATTGCTATCTGGATGCATTGTGTACATGGCTAAGGCTTCCTACTATAATAAAAATACTGTGCCTTAAAGTTTAGCTTCGCTGTAAATGAAAATATTTACAGACATGTAAACAATATCTCTCTGCATCTCTCTTGTATTATTACCACAGAGGTTTTCCTGAGGAAATTTGTTTAACAGTTGACTTATAGCAGCCATTAGGATGAATATTAGAATAAAAACCAGGACAGTTTTGGGAGGGAAGTTCTGAAATGGTACACTAGAAGTGCCAGCGAGTTGTGCATACAAAGCCCAAAGGAGAAATGGAAAAGAAGGACAGTTATCTCCACAGTAGTGTAATCCATGAACATCTCCATCTGGGGCAGAGTGTCAGCGTAAGCCACTCAGTGTCCTGCTTTAAGGGTTGTCACATGAAACATTCTGTTGGCTTGGCTGGGAGAACACAGCCAAACCTACTCCTGGCCTCCCACACACGATCCTTCGCATGGGACAAGGCACCACCAGGCAAGGTTTGCCAAGAGGCTGGACAGGATGGAAGCGTGAGAAATAAGCTGCTGAACAAATGTGTAGGCCAGGCAGTGATAGTGACTGCTATATCAACCTCTTTTTATTTATTATGTCTATAACTTGGACAGACTGACAACAGGAAACCTGGGTCCGCTGCTTCTCTGTATGATATTTCTCATCTCAGAAAGTTGCTTCTTTGAATCCTGTTTGTTCACATATTGCCAAATTATCAGTGTGTTCATTTTTATCTCTGTCAGTCTTATTTTCTCATTTCTTGATGTAATGAGTTGTCTAATTACTGCGACATCAATTCCTTAAGGAACTTCAAATAATTACATCTGTGTATTTCAATGACATCCTGAAGAGTTTGGGGGAGGTTTGCTTCAGGCTCAATAGCATCAGGTGCCTCCTGATACTTACACTTTCTGCCAAGATCTCCCTTCTTCCCTACTTGCTGAAGCATCTAGAAACAAATATATGTCAGTCCTAATTAAAACAATCACCCAAGTACTGGATCTGACTCAGGGATTGCCATTGTAATTTTAAGAGCTGCTTTCTCTGCACAGTTGAACAAAGTGCCTTATTTCATTTGGAATTTTTATGTTCCAGTGAAACAACATTTCAGTTTTTCCTTTCTTTTGTTTTCAAAAAGGACCAAATTCTATAGTTGCTCATGCTGGAGTTATGTGTACTCAAAGGATAAAACAAACAGCAGAACAGGGCCAGAAAAGACTTGCTATGTTTTTTACAGGATAGGTACAGTCTGCAATGTGTTTTTTTCTTTTTTAATGTGCAAGCAAAACTATAGTTCCCAGATCCAAGGAAGGGAGGAGGGGGAGATGTGCAGAACAAGTAGTAGAATCATAGAATTGTTAAGGTTGGAAAGACTTGTAAGATCACCTAGTCGCATTGTCAGCATACCACCATGCCAACTGACCATGTCTCTCAGTGCACCACATCTGCACAGTTCTTGTACCCCTCCAGAGACAGTGATTCCACCACCTCCTTAGGCAGACTGTGAAAAAATTGTTCCTAATATCCAACCTGAACCCTAGCACAACTGAAGACCATTCCCACTCACCATATTGCTGTTACATGGAAGAAGAGGCCAACCCCCACCTTCGTCACAACCTCCTTTCAGGTTGTTGGAGAGAGTCCTAAAGTCACTGCTGAGCCTCCTCTTCTCCAGAATGAACAATCTCAGCTACCTCAGCTGATGCCTATAAGACTAGTGCTTCAGACCCTTCTCAGCTTTGTTGTCCTTCCCTGGACACACTCCAGCACCTCAGTATCTTGTAGTGAGGAGCCCCAAACTGGAAGCAGTACTTGAGGAGCAGCCTCATCAGTGCTGAGTACAAAGGGACAATCACCTCCCTGCTCCTGCTGGCTGCACTATTCCTGATACAAGCCAGGATGCCATTGGCCTTCTTGGACACCTGGACACATTGCTGGCTGTGTGTTTTGCTAGCTGTCCACTGACATCTCCCAATTCTTTTCCTCCATGCAGCTTTCCAGCCACTCTGCCCCAAGACTGCAGGTGGATGGTTGGACCTTATGATTCTATGACTCTATGACTGTATAATGCACAGGTTTGTTGTAACCAAGAAGCAAGACCCACCAGAGATGGGACACACCGCTCATTTCTGGCTTACCCCTTGGCACACAGCACCTCTAGCTACAGATGTCAGTGGGAGCACTCAAAACATGGGACACTATCCCCTGTTCTGTACTTTACATTTATACAGAAGTGTTGCAGAAAAATAGCCCCAAAGCAGGCAGCCACAAGCCATCTCAACAACGTGTCAGGAGTCACCATACATTCCTGTGTCAGCCATCTACACTTAAAGGCAAAAGAGGCATTTCTAGAGAGGACTGATTTATCTCACCCTAATGCAGCTATGTCAAGTAACCCAGGAAATTATATCAGAGAAACCCCTTTTTCTTCCATGTTCCCAAACTATAAAAGGAGTCTAGAAAAAAAAGCTTAGGTGTTGTAAGGTGCATCTTTGCTTCTGGGAAGGAGCTCACAATCTTGATAGAGAGGGCATCTGGGGAAAGAAAGAAGGGAAGAAGGCCAGTGATGTGTATGTATCTAGCTGCACAGTCAGAAGACTACACTCACAGTAACCTTCGGCCCTTCTGACTAGAACATTGTGCAGGGATGTGGGTGGAGGCTATTTTAAACATTAATACTTGCTGGCATATGTTCCAAATAAATGAGCGGAATGAAAGAGCTTGGAAAAATATGTTGTACTGGGATTATTAATCTCTATGGTATTCAGCCACTTCTTAGCAACAAACATTCCCCTGAGGAATTAGTTCAATCACAACTCCCTTCTTGGTCTCTGAGTCCTTTTGGGTATATTTGAATTACTAGTGGTGCATGATATATGTTCAGGGGCATAACCACGGGGCAATTTGGAAAGACCTTGGGGAGGGTTTTGTACACACACTGTGAGCAGACAAATCACATTTAAAATCATCCACTTGGAATTCCAGTGTTATTGAGGAAGTGGCTGCTTGAGATCAGCAACAAACAGCATCTTAATCTCAGAGGTAAGGCACAACTGAAACACAAGTCTGCATGTCCCATGCAAACATATATCACCAGATACATGGTATCTAGTTTTAGTCACATTAAAATCCATGACAGGAAAA